TTCTATTGGTAGCTGGTTGTACAGTTTGCTACCATTGTAAATCAGAGAATCTTTGATAAGATTTGTTGCCGGTCGTGGTTGCTTGATGACGATAATTTGGCGAGTGCCATAGTGGGAGGGATTTGTGTCGAAGTCATTGATATGTTTCTTGACTATACATACTGTGTCTGGAATGGAGATATCTACTGTAGTTAGAATTTTGTGTTAAATACGAAAGAGGAGTTTACAGGGCTCACGGAATTAGGATTGAGTCATGCATCTGGAGGCGCGCTTTTGTAGTACATGAATAGACTGCAAATGGTTATTGTTTACTGATCAGAAACCAATGCCATATCTTAGGTGTGACTTTATCGACGAGTGATATACCATCTTGGCCGTAGATACACCCAATTCGTTTGAAACTATGCGGACAGCGTAACAACCCGAAGCTAACTTGCTCTTTAGGTGGGAGATTTGACTATCAAACTTGAGCTTGCAATCCGAGAAATTTTGCTTCACATCTATTTTCAATGAAATTATTCACTAGGAGCAGCTTATTGATTCCACATCTGAACCTGATGACGTTTGTTTTTGACACATTGAGAGATAGTTGGTTTGGGTCGCACCATTTTTTGATCTGTTCAAGGTCCTCACAAATTGACAAATTCAGATCAGTAATGTCTTTGTTGTGCCATAATATTGTGGTATCATCGGCATAAAGTGTGATATTTCCTGAGATTTTGATATCTGGCAAATCGTTTATATAAATCAAGAGAAGAAGAGGGTCGAGTATCGATCCCTGTGGTACTCTTGAGTTTATATCTGTTTCATTAGATGATGTCGAGGTCTTCACTAGCTGGCGACGCTCAGATAAAAAATATTTACACCAATCGGAGGCGACTCCTCACTCGACGTATTCCTCATCAATAATTATTCAGCACCTTTCGAAAGATGAATGAGTTTCACTTGGCAATTCTAAATACACAATCATCTCCACAACCTGCCTATTTTTCATTCCATCAACTATTTACGCCTCGAAAAGGAGTAAATAATGATAGGTTTCAGAGCTAGTGGTGGACAAAATATCTGCATATATACGTAATATTATTTAATGAATCCTAGAGGCGCTGGTGAGTCATGCTTCGCGAAGTTTATTCCCCTTTTGGACCAAGGGGAAACGAGATATGAGACAGACACAGAGCCGATACATCCCTCTTTTTAATAGAGGCAGGGCAGGGCCTTTATTACTATTATCGATCGTCATATTTTCTGCTTGCTTATTAAAAATATACCATTGAACGGGTTTTGTGCTTGTCGAAATAATATTATATATGCAATATTATTATATTTTGGCAACAACTACAAACTGGACATTGATCATTAATTAGTCACTGGATATTCTTGATAACCAGATCTACCGAATATTGTGTATGCATCTGAGTTGATACATAAATCAAAAATTCAACATTCGACTTTTCATCATTCATTAGAGTGAATAAATGTGAAAAGCGTAATTATTTCAGGCCCACGTTCACCATGTTTGTTTCATCATGAACATTGTTATGAACATTACATATAATAATTAATATCATGGAAAACATGAATCAGATATCGTATTGCATGAAACCCAAATGAATATCAATGAAGTTGGCATCGGTTTGTCAATTTGAATGGATTGTTATCTATACGTGATGCGTTGGTACTACAAAACAGCAGCATTTATCTCTTCTAGAATCGGAAATGATGATGATGATAATAGTGATAAAGTTTGCAAAACATCATCAGAAATTTCGTTATTTCTAATTAGATGATGGAGATGATTTGGATAAAATTTGATAAGTACTCAAAGAAAACGTAAGAGTGTTCAGTATACCGGGCAGTACTCAAATATTCATTCATTTTTGAATTTTGAAGATCCGTTTTCCCTATGTATGTGAGGCAATCATTGTTGGTCCAAATTTGCCGTTCCCTAAAATCTGCCGCTCTATACCTTTTCAACTTCAATTTCGGAATCGGTAAGTTATATTTCGGAACAAGTAATCACGATTTCAGAATTGGTTAGTTCGATTTCAGAAATGGTTAACTCAATTTCAGAATCGGTGAGATGAATTTCAGAGAAAGTCCATTCAATTTCAGAAATGGTAAGTTGTATTTCAGAATTGGTAGGTTCAATTTCAGAAAATATGAAAATAAATCCTTATATTTGTTTGAAATGTTTCCAATTGCATGTGAGATTAACAAACCATATTTACAGTATTCAACTTTTCGAAAACAATTCAATAACATAATTATAATCTTCACAGATGTCTTCCATCCGAATCGCAGGAGGATAGTAGCGTTGCACATGATTATAAGAATGCAAACACATTTGAGGTGTTATCATTTTCATTGAATGATCTGCACATTCATCAAGACATCGCAGTCTGAATTCTATCTGGTTGAGCAATCTGTTCGGATCCCCAGCTATGACCCTTTGGCGATGCTCTTGCAAAAAGCCCTTCACTTCTGACTTGAAGGCTCTCCATATATGTTCAATCGGATTCAACATAGGGCTGTAAGGTGCCAATCTGCAAAATATAACATCTTGAAATTCTTCCTCGATGCAGGTGCAGGTGCATTATCCGGAACTACCACTATGGTATCTGCAGGATTTCCATTTCAAACGCACTCTCTCAAACACCGTTCCATCCACTGTGAACAATATTCTCTTTTGCAATTGAAATCATTTCAAACATATATAAGGATGCATCTTCTGAAATTGAACCTACCAATTCTGAAATACAACTCACCATTTCTGAAATTGAATGGACTTTTTCTGAAATTCATCTCACCGATTCTGAAATCGGGTTTACCATTTCTGAAATCGAACTAACCAATTCCGAAATCGAGATTACTTTTTCCGAAATATAACTCACCGATTCCGAAATTGAAGTTGAAAAGGTATAGACTCCAGTCTACAAAGCCTGCTGGTAAATCATCCACTGCAACTGACACTTTTTGTATTCATCAGCAACAGCAAGACTACCAGTGCTGATGTTATTGATTTGGAAACGTGTGAAGCTTTTCGGAACCCATATTCGATCGGATCTGGAGGGAAAAAAAAGCGCCTGAAAGGCATGTGCTCGGCACACGTACATGATATTATTATTGCGTTCGAACATAAACAAAACAGAAACATGTGTGGAACAATCCCGGTCTAAACAGCGGCTGGGAACCGAACATGTGTTAGAGAGCACTATATGGCCGATGAAAAACCGGAGGGAAATGACAAAGTGTGAAACATATTTATCGCTCGCCGACAATACGTGATTTTTTGCGATTTCCGTCACTCGTTAGTGGCGTTTTTTTTATACAAATGAGCACATGGGTGAATTGATGAGAAAGCAAAAATAATGATTTTTTGTTCAAGTACCGGCGTAAATAATATGTGAATAAAGTGTTGCGAGTGATTTCTCTCTGATTGCACTCAATTTCATCATTCGTACATATTTTATAAGTGCTTTTGTACAGAGTGTTTAAAAATCAACTACAAATATTTCAAGGGCGTATTTTTGATGTCGCTCTCCTCTAGTCTTCTAAAATCAGGTTTGGTGCTTGAAAAAACAGGGGTTTTCAAATGTTCAAGGAAATTCATGTCTTACTTATGACAGCTCATAAAAAGGTCTTATTTTGACCCTGGGAAAGCACCATGAAAAAATCCATAGTGTTTATCGAAACACCCTATTTTGATTAGTGCCATAATGGATTTTTCAATGCATCAATTTTCGAAATGGATGCAACTTTCCATCAGTCTCTCCAGATAACAACTTTTCCACATTTCATATCTGGATAGTCTTCGCGTTTGTAGTAGAAAAATGAGGTCTGAAAGGATTCCATATAGAAATCATACTCATTACACTCTATGATCACTCTGGACTACCTTCTAGGACCTCATTTGAATTAATAGAGTAATTTACTGTATACTATCTACTATGCAAATTGTTCAATCAACATGATTAGAGCTGATCTGAAGATTTTCACCTCGATTTTCACTATAGAATTGAAGAACATAATGAAGAATTTATGAAGGTTGCAACCATGCAAAGTAATCAGTATGGAAGATGAAGAAATCAATAATTTATAGAATGTTTTTTTTGAAAAACAAATTCCATACATCGTGTTTATGTTTATTTTTCAGATTTCGCTCCACCAGAGCTCCTCAGCGGTTCTTAATTTCTGACAAATGATTATACCTCAATCGGTGACATGAAATAAAGACGCCAGCTCAACAAGGATGAGGTGACTGGTGAGTACACAGTACCATTCTTATTGCGATGCTACATATAATGCATACATGCTATCTCAAAAATTAGTTTTAGTACCACAACTCATAAACATAGATTCAACAAAGCGTAGATATATAGATATGTAAAAATTGTATATAAATTAGAAGAGGGAGGGTACTACCTGAACAATTACTAGTTGCACTTATGGAATCTTCCAACTTGATATTCTCCTGTATATCCGAATCAATTTTAAAACAAAAACTTACTAACGATGTCCTCATGGAGTGTCCAGAAAATTTCATTATAAGTCCATTTTGAGTAGGTACCTACATACAACATGGATGGATCCCTTCAATTCGAAACTGTCATGATTGTAGGGGTAAATTTTGAATAATAACTTATCAATAATGAATTATTGGGAGTAATGCTTCCGCCAATCGAACGAATATGGAATTTAATATTTTAACCAAAATCCATATTATCGCTTCAACTCCGATTTATCACAAATAATCCAGTAAGTTTCGAATGAAGTTTGTCAAAGATGGCTCAATTGAGAAGTTTCAAAAGGTATCTATCTCGATCAAAAGTTGAACAGGATAACTAGTACCTACTTGTACTATACGGATAATTTACGAATGACGTTCTTACACAGTTTTGGCACATATGAAAATCTCATGAATGTTTCACCCTTCAGACAATTTTGAAAATTGACAGATTGGAATGCATGCTACCATCCATCAAAATCTAAACACTTACGGAATAACTGGACAAGTCGAAAGGGCTCGACCTGACCACCTCTAGTACCTGCACCATATGGACCCTTCGACTCTCGGACTCCCCAACAGCTAACCGGCGCCTGTCTCCCCAGCAACAAATCGAGCGTGCCTCGAGCGCCCAAAGCCTACGCGGACCACGGAACGACAGAACGACAGAACAGTCTCTAACCGTGATAGTGAGCGCACGGAACGTGGAAGCGGACTGAGATCTATGGGACTGAGCGACGGCCAACGATGCGGGCCGCTCGCGTAGCTATGGGTTACAAGTAGGATAGCTGCGAGCGGCGTTCTGTGCGCAGCCAATGGCACGCGGTCTCCACACGCACTTTGTCGGCGTTCGGCCACGCGCTGCGTCATCGATCGCTGCTGGTCGGCGGGCTTTCGGGAAGAGCGAGCGTGCGTGCGATTTTTCATTTTTTTCATGTTCTGGTTTCCACGAAAAGAGATAACCTGTAATGTTCAGAGAACATCGTGAGAACCAAGGGATATGAGGTAGGGATTGGTGTTCTTCAATTTCTGGAGGTTATATGCCTCGAGGAACACCTCCCTTGGCAATGTGTCCCAGAACTGGCAGAGCCTCGCTGTTCGTTGGATGAACGAGTGTTTGGGAAGAGATGTTCTGCAGGTCTCCAAAGTGACCATGAAGAGGTGCGAAGCCTCAACTCGACGGGTTAATCTCACGGAGACTGCCAAGGGAGGAACAATTGTTGATATTTCAGAAGAGCACCGTCCATGGAAATATCAATAAAATAGAGCCAACTTTTCTACGGTGTTCCAGAGAAGTGAGTGAGTTTGTGAGCGAGGCATCACCCACTAGACGAATTGCCCTTTTTTGGACAGAATCCAACAGTTTCAGGGTATGTTTGGGTGCTGCACTCCAAATATGCGAACAGTATTCCAGGACAGGTCGGATCTGTGCTTTATAGATCATAATCAGCTGACTGGAACTGAAATAGCTAATGGCCCGAAACAGAAAATCAAGTTTTTCGGATGCACTTTTAGCAATTGATCTCACGTGATTTTCACAAGAAAGGTTATTGCTGACAAAATTCAAAGGTATGGTTACCCTGACAAGCTTATGTTGGGCACAGGGAAATCGGATTTTCTAAAGGCATGCTTGTGTTTTGTGTGTCACTAACCATAGAACATAAGGGGTTATCACAGGTTGCATTACCAGTATCATTAACTATGAAGTTTTGTACTTGCTGTACTCGAAATACTGATCAAAGATTTCGATTCTCACGAAATCCATAAAAGTTTCAATATCGCGATTAATATTTCACTTAGGTTATATTGTGATTTTCTGGACAGTCATTAGCTGGACTATCGGCCCTTCAAAGGGTGACGTTGTGTTCTAGGACTCCCTTTTATATTTACAAATTGATACCTATGAGCTAGATGATCAAAATGGAAGATGTATAGGTAGGTATCTGATAGTGCATTTACAGCTGGAATCAATTTTAAATCTGCAACTGGATGTTCAATCATTATTGTTCAACCGTCGGTTCAACCATGTCCTACTCCTTTATATTCACATGATTCTGACTTTGGGGTGATGCAGTTAGCTGATATTTCTCAAAACCAAACACTTCTGATGATTCAAAATCTAGACTTCTAATAATTGAAGTTACTGCCCCTTCAAGAAAATTTCACTTGACCCGCCCAAGTCCTATCCTTCTAATACAGGGTTTATCTTATAATAACACCAAAAAAATTCAATGGGTGATTCCTCGTGATATTTTAGGAAATAAAATTCTTATATATATTTTTTTCCAGGTACAGGGTATCAATATTTCCATGAAAACCCTTTTTCCTATTCATTTCTCAATTATTTTTTCATCAATTTCAATAAAACGTTGTGGTTTTGTTGATAGTGATATGGATCTTCTTCTAGTGCAGTTAGATTTGAAATAGTATTCCTAGTGGCGTCACAGTTGGTAAATTTATCGATATTCATTTTGAATTTCATTGTAAGCCACCGGTCCTTCTGAGTTTCATATTTTCATTAGATTGAACTACTAGGATAACAACTTTTTTATCTTGTGTGTGATTTTTGTATCTAGCTTAGTTTTTGAGGAAACAATAAACATTCGATTTGACTCCAAATTTCAATGTATACGTGTTTCCAAGACTCCCATTGAGATTAGGTACTCAATAACCCCAATCAAATCATTATGAAATTTCGGGGCTTTCTCAGTCTCCATCCATACTGAATTCTGGCACCATGAAAGCTCATACAGGAGGGTTATAAATAAAAACAATTAATACTTCCACCTTCAACATCCTGCATCTCAAAAACGGAGCAAGTTATTACACATGTTCATATGAACTTTATTTGCTAAAATATCACAAGGAAACACTCCTTGAATGTTTTCGATGTTATTTAGATACACCATGTATACCTATTCGGTGTGTGTCACCGTTGAAAAAAATGTACTAGAAACGTGACCCAGATAGAAATCTTCGAGCCAGCAAAGTGTTTTATAGGTCACTCACCCCTAACACCCCAAGTGTGATCTGATGCACGGGAAGAGGACCAGCCACGGGCGAACCTCACCAGGGGAATATGGACCTTATGTAGGTGTCGTTTTGGGGGCTAGATTGCCTTGGCACGTGCAGGTTCGACCGCAGGCCCCCGTATTATTTCGATTCAATAGGCACGTACGTCATTTGCATCCCCCTCACTATCAAGCAGGGTCGAAGGATTTTCAGCCGCGATTGAGAACTGTGGACGTTGCTTGTACCTTTGTACATGTTGCAGTGCTCGAACTATAACTAAATAGTTGAAAAGGGGGATACGTTTTGCTTACTTACTCTGCGAAAAAGACATCACATTCTGAGGGAATCTTTGGAACCGCTGCCAAACAGTTCAAAAGGATTATTTCAGCATAAATAGCAGATGACGAATAACAGTTATTTATTATGCAAGGGAAAAAAGTAGCAGATTTTAGCTCCAGGTTGTGTTGTCTCCCGACGCGTAGCGGAGAGACAAAAAACTGTGAGCTAAAATCTAATATTTCTCCCGTGGATAATACACTATTTTTTTCTGTGACAGAAGAAAGGACGAATCAATATTGAGAAGCTATTACATTATTTTGGAATCTGAAAATTATCGACGTGAAATTTTAAGTTTTTAACAGTAGGGACACCTGCGTTGTAGGCATCTTTATCATTCTTTTGAAGTGATAAAATATCTGATGTCACTTCTGTCAGTCTAATTTTAAAATTTGATTTCAAAAAATTGCGAATTTAGTGGTTGTTTAGTAATATATAATTGACTCATTTTTCGGAACTATAGCACAACAAAAGCCATCAACAGTGTATAAATATGTGCTATATATCCGGAAAAAAATACTCCCTCTTTTCCCACGGGAAAGAAGTAATTTATGAAAAGTGACATTTTATAACCTGCCAACAGAGATGAAATGCCAAACTTTTTTCCGTCACAGAGAAAAATATTTTACCTACGGCCACTATAGAAAGTAGGCAAAAAAGATGCCGTAAATATACCAGGTATATATATTATACCCATTCTATTTACTATTTCTGTGAATGGGGCGAGCATGTTTGTTCAGTGTAGGTCTAACGGTGATGTCTCGAAATGAAGACAAATTTTTCTCCGTGTATACTATATTGTTAAAAAGAACGGGATGAAATTTTGCAAAAGTGACTTCAAATCAGGATACTTTCAAGGAAAGGTGATCGTATTGTTTGATCGTAATGTAATCAAACTGAGATGTAAGGGTTGAATCACTCTGAAATATCGATTTTTACAAGAAATAATTGGTGCCTGAAAACTCAGGAAGAATGAGACTAATATAATTGGCATTCGTTTGAAGGGAATCAGGCGGAATGAAATGGAAGATTTTTGTCGAATAAGTTCTTTTTTTTTCACTGTTTTGTCACTTCGCCAGTTCCCAGTGCAGCGGACTAAAAAATAATTGAGACCACTCACAGCCGTTCTTGATTTTTTTCACGAAATCATTATCCTCAAAGCCAAACTCATTGGTTGAAAGATAACATCTTTTAATTGAAATTATTAGCGTAGGTATTTGTCCATAGTTTAATTTAATAGGAGATTTTGTTGTTTCAACATTCCTTGCATTGTTCAATCAATCATATGCATAATGTCTTTTTTCGATACAAATCTATCGAATTTGATAAAAATGTATTGCAGGACAATATGATATTTCATTGATTCAACAGACTGCTGATTTTTTTCAAAGATCATGTACACTTTTGGATCGATATAATTCTGTTCATTCTACAAAATACAAATAATTTCAACAGATACATGTGATATTTGTATAAAAGATATTCTCTTCCGTGCGATCTTAATGATGAAAAAAACATGTTTCAAGTTGGGTGGACAATATAGCTTCTTATCGTTTGAAAATCACCGATGCTAATAGATGCATATGTTGGATATAAAGTGAAACTTATCGTGTAGCGTGGCGTGAGTAAATGTGGTTTGTTTAACTGGTGTCTGAAATAATTCGGTTGGTTTGGTGGATAAGGCTGATTAAGAGGTGAATTTGGAATTTTATGAGGACGGTTCGAGATATGTGAATGGGAAATCAGATTCATAAAATGAGATAGAAAATTGAGGAAAATTGAAGGGATTCCAGAGTTTTCTGAACTGGAGTATTCTTAAGTTTGAGCAGTAAAGAGCCCCAAATTGAACTCTAAAGCAAATATTCCTTTGACAATTATCATAACTTCTTTTCTTTTCAAATCCTGAATGCTCGTTTGGTTAGTTGATGAATCTGTTTGCTCGATTGCAGCGCGTCATTTTCAACTGATTCGCCAGAAAAATCCATTCTATACTCACAAACAGCAGGGCTCAGAATTGGGCATCCACAGTTCATGACAGTTCAAAACCTCTTTGAGGAAATGAGATTTCTGCAATATACTAAAAAAAGATCTGAAAATCTGAAATATTGCACAGTATTATGAATCATCAACTGAACCGATGTCACGAGCATTCAAGAACCGAACATTTCAAATGTTCTGTTTGGAATATTTACCAGTCTATAT